GGAACGTTTGGCACGTACAGAACACCTAGGCAGTGTCTGCTTTGGTCGGCAGGCGGTGCTGTTGTCTAACACTCTGGAACTTGCTTGCCCGCTATCTGCAGCTTTGTCCTCGAGGTCATTTCCTGTAACTGTGATTGGTTGTCGCAGTCATGTGACACAACAGTCACACAGTTCTCTTATTAACTGATAAAAATGCTTATTTTTAGAACCAAAAACAATACTTTCAGGGTCTCTGTGAGAATGGTTGGAATTATTTAATATTTTATTTAATTATTGATTGTTATTTTATTTTATTTATTTATTTATTTATTTTTCATTTTCACATGTCAGCATTTTTTTAAATGTTGGTTTACAAACAAAAGTTGGTTTACTTTTTAATAGTTTCAACATTACAATCATATTACGAGCAAAAATATAATAAAAAATACCCAAGATATTTAATTGTAATGTGAGTTCGAAAATCCCGAAACACTCACAGTTGACTGCCTTGTACACATTCCATGCCCTTGAATAATCTGTGAAATGTTTTGAATTATCAATTCTATCAATTCAACTAATCAGTTGACTTTATATTCATCTGGATAAATATAAAGAGGGGACACTCAGAGATGACAACATTTATCTTACCAGTAAATGTTACTATAATACGCAGTGTACAGAAACTTTCCCAATGGCCATTTTACATAAATCGACAACTCGTCACATGGCGCTAATGTTGGATGTTTTTTTTTTTTTTGTCCACTCTCTCTCACCATGGATGTATTTTGAGTGTATTTATTTATTTTTTAAACTACCTTAAATTTACAGTCAGAAAAAAATGACCCCATTAGTTCACTCGTCAGATTTCAAAAACACCTCATTTATCCTAGAGCGAACTGTGGCAAAATAACATGCAGACTTGAGCAACGCCTTGGTTAAGAAATACTACACCGAATTATAATACTTGGATAAGAACTACTACAATAAATATTTGCCAAAATATATAGCAGACATTAGTCTACTAGAATAAGAAATAATTTCGACAGTGTATTTTTTTCCCCTTTGAGTGCAGTGAATGCTAATTCAACCCCGTGTCTTTATTTCCTCCTGAGATCAGAATAATCACCATTATTGAATAAGTGCAACTTTCAGGATTATTTATGGCACCCGCGCGCTGTCATGAATGGCTGTGGGGAAGCACGTGATGCCATTAAACTTTGTTTTATGGCCAGGGAGTTGACAAGCCAAAATATAATTCACATTGTATATTAGAAAGGTCGTTCAGACGGTTTAGAAACGATCCCAGTATCGCCGCAGAGGAAAGAGGCTCCACGTTTGTTTTGATCATGGATATACAAACTTGTCGATACGCTTTACGTGATACGCCTGCTTCTGGAGGTAAGCGTGTCCTCAGTACGTGTCACTGAACTTGTGCGTGGTTGAATTGTGCCATAATGTTTCATACTGTGGTTTCATATAGTCAGCTTCCAAGCCAGCGCTGATTAGTTTCTGTGATCTCCTCTTGTGTTGTTGTGCACAGTTTTGGGTGGTTGGGTAACTTTGGAGAGAAAAAATAGGTTGTAATGGAGGTGACGTAAATGTTATGCAGTAGTCCGGTTTTGGTGCAGTTGTGGCGCCACGTTATGAAAGATTGCTTCCTTAACTTTTCACTGTTTAGCTTGTATACATGAAATCTATTATTATTATTATTATTATTGTTATTATTATATAGGCTAAGTCAAAATGCACATTTTTGATACAACGAAGGCAATGCATTTGAATTTATTGCTTTACTTACTCATTATTTTTTTTAAATAATTGTTTTGTTGGATTCCAAGTGTGTAATACACATATATTGAGAGTTGTCTTTTGATTACCGTATTATAAATACGACGAAAGTAATTTAATGTGCGTTGTTTTTTTTGTTTGTTTGTTTTTTGCATTTAACCTGCAAATTATTGTTACTCATTTACACCTGTTGTGTAGTGCGCTTCATCGTGAAAAATAGTGTAGCCTACCGTTTATTTTTAGAGAGAAATTTGTCCAAACGAAAACATCAGTTAGTCGATACACAATCATTCTGGACATAATACTGAACTGTGTAATAAGCAGGTTTTCTGGGTTTTATTGTCCAGCTCTCTAGCGCCCCCAAACAAAAGAAATGGTCAATCTGGCCCTGAACCATACTTTGTACTACTAATTATTATCCCTGAAAAATGGCTGTTTAGATTGATCAGAAAAAAATACAAAAGGACAAAAGTCATGTTCATTAAAGCCTGAATTAAATGGTCTGAATTAGCTAACAACAGCAAAGATATCTAATTTTATGTGCATGTTATAAAGGTAAACAAAATAGCTACACAATTTGGTCACTGTTTTATTTAGTCATACTATTTCAGTTAAATAACTTGAAAGTTATTATTATTTTTTTTTAATGTAAAGTCAAACCTCAATCAGTTAAACATATCTGTGCATTATATAAAGAGAAGGCTAATCAAGATATTTTGCAGTAAACGTTTGAAGAAAATCAGATATTTAAGTGGTTAATAGCCGAACTGTTGGTAATTCCCTTTTAAGTTAAAATGATTTTTACAAATAATTAAATCATTAAATTTTCGATTAATAAAAATTGACGATTCTGCATACAAAAAATAAAAACGGTTCATATCACAGAAACCCCTATGTGCATGCAAATTATCTGAAAAAAAAAAATTCACAAGTAGATATTTTCATTTAAAATCAGAGGTCACAACAACTGGTGACCGTCTCATTGTTTTGTTCATCTGTAACTCGGCTTTGACCCGCCTGAGCAAGTCGCAAAGCAAGGTGAAACACGGGTCACGGTGTCTAACAAAAATAAATGAAATACGCGTAATAAAAATGCACATTGACTGGCTACTCTTTGTAAATATCAAAACATACAAAAATATGAATTAATCCTTTAAAGAAATGTAATATCAAGAATGAATAGCCTGCATAATTTCGAATGTATTGTTAACTCTTTTAAATCGCGTGCCTTTTTGTTCCAAAAAGCTACAATCACCCATGGAAACACAGTTAAGATACAGCTTGTCAAATTAAACAAGATATGTATTTGAACGGCTCATTGTTTTATATGTGAGATTTATGTATAAGATTTATGTTTTATATGTTATATGTATGTGTTTTTATGTTTGATTTATTTCTTTATTTATTAAGAAAAGAATGGCAATGAAGTATAAATTAAATACAAATAAATTGAACATCACTGTTAACCAAATTTAGATGTAACGACAAAAATTGGTAAATATTTTTAAATGTTGAGAGTTCTTGATCCTTACATTTTTAATAGATCCATGGTTTTGGAGTATTGCTCTGGTGACCGGGAGCCAAGGGCCACAGGAGCTGCTTATCAGAGGAGGTCGTGTACTATCCATGAACTTTCCTCCTTTTCCGCTACCGCTGTCGCCTTGCAAAAAATAATGAAACTTTGTGATGTGTGTTGTAAATGATTCGGCTTGACCTCTCGGCCTTTAGCCTTCCTTTATATGCTTCTTCACGTATCCAAACAGCACAGGGATTTAAGGCCACCTGATCAATTTGACTGCCATGACTGCATCTCACAGTGAGTAGAATTTAGCACAAAGCCTTCACACCTATATGCCTGGGTGAATATAATATGTTGTGCTGTATAGAGAATAAAATATTTTTATTAGTGAGATTAGTCACCTTTTATTATATAAATTCAAATTGAGCTGTGGGCCTCTTTGAAGATCCCCCCCCACTGTTAAACATCTGTATTATCAAAAGACTATTAAAAAGCACTGAACCTTTTTAAAAAATCAAATCAAACTTGATCGTAATCTTGGAAATGAATTATACTTAATGAAAAACTAGAATTTTTGAGTCAGAACGGTTGCAATAACGGATTCATTGTATATTGAATTTTAATCTTTTTTTTTTTTTTTTCTCGAAGATGTTTTGTCAGTTGGGCGAATGCATTCCGTCGTCTATATATACCCTGTAGAACCGAATTTGTGTGAAAAAAATGACAGTCACGGATTCGATTCTAGGGGAGTATATGGTCGACGCAAGAACTTCGAATAAAACCACTTGCGTGCAATGGAGAATATGAAATGATAAGCATATAATTACATAATTGCATAATATGATTATATGATTCTGATTACGTGAACTGTCACGAAATGCTTTGATCAGTCGTCTCAACAGTGCTATGTACTGCTGTTTTCACTAAAATAAGTCAACATATTTAACCTTTTATATAGCGTTCAAATCTCAATGTTTGCCTATAAAACAGGACAGAGAGCAATAGTTAATATATATATATATATATATATATATATATATATATATATGAGATAATGTTCTTGTTAATGTTCTTACTAAAACGTTACCTAATGATTAACATATGTGGCTATTCTCTTTTATGTGGCGTTTGATTATTGATTGGCGCGGCGCATAGATGGCGAACCAGGGCGCCCTATACAGCGAGCTGAAAGGATGAGAAGCGCTGGAATGATGAGACTCCAGTAACTTCTGAGTGACCTCTACATGACAAAGACGGTCTCCATCAATTGTCTGCTGGCTTTATGTGACTCTTTTTGTGCCCTGAGCCGTTTTTTATCTTTTGTCTTGTTTTGTTTTTACTAGGTAAAAAAACCCTCGCTTGGGTTTGATTTAGCTTGGTTGGATATTAATTTACCAATTGGGCCACATATATGTGATGCAAAGACATGTTTTATATGATATCACGAGATGTGTAGTAAGCAGGGATCCTCCCATGTGATATTGGGCATTAGCAACTGGGTCTCAATACACAAATATTATTTATTTATTTATTTATTTTTACACCGACCGGGTATTTAATCAATTCAGTTTCATATTATATCGTTACTGTCCTAATTGACAGATAATGTGAAGTTTGTGAAATCAACTACTAGGTGTGCACAGCTTCTTCTCGGTTGATGAAGTCCCTCCACCTCGATTGGCCGAGCTGGTCACATGGTAACCTAACTTTATTCAGTTGACAGCAAGTAGGAGGGCTTTATGGAGGGAGAAAAAAGACAACTCCAGAAAAATTAGTATTTCCTACCTTCAGAAATTAATGGCCATGAGTTCGTACATGGTGAACTCCAAGTATGTGGATCCCAAATTTCCTCCTTGTGAGGAATATTCTCAGAACAGCTATATACCTGAACAGAGCCCAGGCTACTACAGTCCGTCGCAGGACACTGATTTCCAGCATCCCGGAATCTATTCACGGTCAAACTACTCTGAACAGCCTTACAGTTGTAACACTGTCCAGGGCTCGTCGGTGCAGCCGCGGGGTCATGTGCAGGATCAAGACAGCCACCCTAGCCCTTATCCCGCACAGACAGAGCAGTGTCCTGCGGTCCAGATATCCGGACCGAGGACTTGTGGACAACAACAAAACACAAAGAGCCAGAACGGGATATCAGCCAAGCAGCCTGCTGTAGTTTATCCATGGATGAAGAAAGTGCACGTTACAACGGGTAAGATTAACTCTCTTTGCTGTCTGCTTGTAGGCCAGCCCTATTCTGCTGTTTTAGTCACAGTTAAAATCATTCAGTGAAATATTTATAGGTTCCTCTGAAGGGGCCGCCAATTACACCAGCCATAAATTTTTATTGCTTGGGAAATAGGCCGCTAGCTCTGTTGGACACTATTGCAGTACTGAGAGTCCACTTGGCCCAAAGCTTTGAACTGAATAATTTAGAAGTGATAAACTTTGAAATAAATTCACCGAAACTGAAATTATACCAGAAATTTAAGTAAGTGAGTAAGTTTAAACACAAGGAAGCGAATGGTTGGTTCCTTTTTCCCCCTTCTTCTTCTTCTTTTTTTTTTTTAACGTAAGTGTGTTTTTGTCTTTCACAGTGAACCCGGATTACACAGGACCGGAACCCAAGCGTTCTCGGACAGCCTACACAAGACAGCAAGCTCTCGAACTAGAAAAGGAGTTCCATTTTAACAAATATCTAACAAGACGGCGTCGCATTGAAATCGCGCATACCCTCTGTCTCTCTGAGCGACAGATTAAAATCTGGTTTCAGAACAGAAGAATGAAATGGAAAAAGGATCACAAACTACCTAACACGAAAGGAAGATCGGCGTCAGCTGGAAATCAGCATTCACAACACGCTCAGAAGGACAACCAGACAGAGATCACAACTTTATAAGTGGATATCTCTCCCTCCCTCCAGATGTACAGATGAACTGTATGTAATAGACAATGCTTCTTTGACATTGCATGGTAGCGAATCATGACATGTTGGGTACAAGTGCCAAAAACTGAGAACCAGAAGCACACACCATGACTAAATGCAGCATAAAAGCTGCTATGCGTTAAAAAAAAATTTCAATTTCAATATTTCCAGTATTGTAACCCTTTGTAACTGAGGCAAAAGGGATATGAGGCATCGAATGATGGTTCAAGTGCCACCACGAGGTACAGTAAAACGTTAGAAAGCTCACGCTATTTTACACAAACTTGCCAAATTTGTTTCAGAGCATGGTTCGTTTTAGTGGCACTATTCACACCTTTTTTAAATATCTGTATATCAACAGTTTCCTCTTTTTAAACGCATTATGGCAATTATGGTCAATTTATCTTAACTTAATCATTAAAGAGAACTTAAGTAAGTAATGTCCAGCATATAGTAAATTACGAATGTCTTTTTTTTTTGTACTAAAGTCGACTGGGTGCAAGTAATAAAAACAAAATCAAATTAGTTAATAATAAGGAAAAAAAATCGTTGCCTGGGAAATTCATTTGTAGACTGAAAAGCTGAAGAAATTTCCTTCTGAACCTCGTTTACTGTGCGCGCCTCATTAATGGTTTACTTTCTAAAAGATTATATTTCAGTCAAGCAATTGTATCATGTTCATGTAATTTTTAAGAATTTCGTTATAGACGTTTCTCATTTGTTTACTGCAGCTTTTAAAAGTGTCCTATTTAATCGAGAAATATGTCTCTTTTTGACACGAATATTCCATGCCTTATAATCCACTATAAATCTCGCCCGTCATCTTTATAAACAATTTAGCTACAATTGCAGAAGCAGTATTTCTGTCTTCCAGATGTTACCTGAAATTCTTGAAAAGCAGCTTTTTATTTTGCATTTTAGATACACGTTTAGCCCTCAAGATGTTTGAACCTTCTATTTATTCAAATGTAATGTTAAAAGCTTTATGTTCTACGTGAACGTAATTATCCGTTCAATAATGATCAAATTCAGTTTTGAGTTTTTGAGTTCTTAAATATATATGTATATATTTCTGTATATTGTGCATATTTTTTACAGGCATATTTTGCAGTAATTAAATATTATGCAGAGAGCTTTCACTCAAACTGCGTCATATTGTGTTGAAACTAGAGACGTAGAAAAAAAGAAAACACATTTTATCAAGCACTTTCATATTATGTTATTTTTGAAAGGGGATTGGTGTTCATTTTGAAATGGTTTTCCAACAGTGATTAAACTTAGACGCTCTGCTATCATTGTGGTGTCTTTGTCTCCTTGAACAAAAACACGAGGCATACATGCATTGCGATGGAGTCTTCACACAGAAGCCTTCACGTTGAGAGCATGAAAAGGTATTTTTACAGAAGTTCAACAAAAGCCTTGCGGGCAGGTTCATCCGGAGGACACAGATTCTGTTGCATTAGACGCTTTTGAGCCGCGAGCACTGACCTCTACACTCCTGACCTGATGGACCTTCAGCCGGTTCTCTCAGACGCTTTTTGCACACAGATGCACCAATAATGTGTGCGTGTGGAGAAGGGGTTTCTTTTTGGGAAAAAAAAAAAAAAAATCTGCAAGAAATATTATGTACTGAATTAATATTTGCTTGCCTTACACGGTAAAGCCACGCCGTGTAACTTAATTTGTACTTTATCCGTTTCTGCCCGAGTCCTGCATATTAAAATCATGGTTATGCTGTACAATGATTACGATAACTGTGAAATTACAAATCGTAAATAAACCTCCATGTGTTTTTCTTCATCAAGCAAAATATCATGTCAAAGCATTATTGATAAACCGGAAGATATCCATTTTGATATCCGTGTATTATAAAAATAATAATAAAAAGTTTTTTCCGCCCTTCAAAGAGAATTATGAGCAATCATTACTAAGGTTATTGCTAAATAGCAACAGAGTTTGTATTATTTAAATATTAAAGAAAATTTTCAAAATTTATCAAAACAGGTTTTGATCTTTTTTTTTATTTTATTTTTTTTTGTTCTCAGTGTGCCAAAAATGGTTGTCCATCAGCACTGAAAATGTTTGTGCGTGTGTGTGTGTGTGTGTGTGTGTACTACTGAACCATATTGTGGGGGAAAATATGTACCCAGAAGTGAGGTTAACATGACAAATTCTCTCAAAACCTCCTTTCGGAGGCGTCCTCATTTGTAAAAAAAAAAAAAAAAAACAGTCTATAAAAATAAGATATAGAGGCTTTTAAAAATGGTACAAATGCTGAACATTTTCTGTTAGGGTTAGGTTATAGTTTTTATAACTAGCTGTATAAAAACAATAGAAGTCAATGCAATGTCCATATTTAGCCAAGTAAACGTGTGTGAAAGAGACAATATACTACTACTACTAATTTTAACAGGTTTTTTTTTTTTTTGTGCCGTAAATGTGTGTAAATAGGCTCTGTGTGTGCGTGTGTGCGTGCGTGCGTGCGTGCGTGTGTGTGTGTGTGTGTGTGTGTGTGATTTAATGTTACCAATGCTTTGGCAATGCAAATACTTTTTTTCTGTCAATAAAAGCCACTTGAATCAGAGAGAGAGAAAGAGAGAGAGAGAGAGAGAGAGAGAGAGAGAGAGAGAGATCATAAGAACAGCAGTAAACATCTCCAGGGAGGACCAAATGTAAAGTTTATTTCAGGCGAAACATCTACAAACATCTACCTTACAAACATGCATGTGGAGTAGTTCTCTGATAACGTTTTACATCAATTACATTGCTGAAAATGAGATTAATTAATGAGAATACATTGCATATGCATGGTCAATTGTATACCGTCCCCATTCTATACAGATATCTTAATTGTATGCGTGTGTGTGTGTGTGCGTGTGTGTGTGTGTGTGTGTGTATACACGTGTGTGTGTATATGTCAATATCTATTTCAAATATCTATTTTTTGTTTAATAAGCCTTGTGCATAGTGAAAACACGCCACGCAGGGGATCTCTTTGCCTTCAGTAAGGCATTCTGAGTATTGACCTGGATGTCTGAACACAATAAATGAGAGCCATACGCAGTTCCATGTGCAATGACACTGCACCGACTACTACCGCCGCTCTCACAATGCTTCTCAAACGGCCATTTTTGATTTCCAGCTGTTCACTGAAAATGTTTTCGCCCATCGAGACAACCCGTTAAGATAAATCAAACTGCGCTGTCGGCATCCAAAGACAGAATTCGGTATATGGTTCCGTTCTATATCTTTTTTTGTTTGACCACGTGATTGTCTAAATAATTAATGCAGCACGTCCCCTAGAAACACGGCGTCGTCATTAATCGCGAGGACTCTATCAGACTTGAAAACTGAAGAGATCCAAGAAAATAATATCCAAACGGTCCTGTACCTCACCCCACCGCAACCTGCACATTCCTACAGCTTTTCAGCCAATGGAGCATCGGTAGGTAAACATTTAAGATTAATATTTGCAGTGAGACAGCGGATAAACATATCTGTCAGGATTTTGATAAATAGTGTCTTTTGATTTGGTCTTCGCAGACAGACTGAAACAACTTCAGGCTCATTGTGATTTTTTTGCTTAAATAGCTTCAGCATGAAGCTCTCCAAATCTATACCTTTATCAATAAAAAATAAAACTGTTATCAGACTACTTTTATTTTTAAAGTAGCTATTACAGGCAGACTTTACTGTAATTATTTTCTCATGTAATGTAATGTTATATTGATGTATTTGTGCATGAAATATGTGAAGTCCAGTTCGATAGTGTTTATTGCTTAGCCGCCAGGGCTTTAACGAAGGCCTCTTTGTGATTTATAATCCGTCAGAGATGCTGTTATTTCCCGATTTAGTGGAGACTATTTGTGGAGACGTATGTGTTTGGTTAGATAAAAAGAACACAGGCTAAAATTCATTGTAGAGGTCTATCTGGAATATCATCACATAGTTATTGACGCAAAGTACTGCCTGAATATAACTGGAAGTAGGATCATGACAATTTTACAACAATTATAGAAACACCACCACCAACAAAACAGCATAAGAATCCACAAAAAAAAAAAAAAAAACAATGGCATCGATCCAAAAACAATATATTTCATTGATGTCAAAGCTCCACAATACCCACTCGTTTAGTAATGGAGCGTTATGATCGTGGATCTATCCATAAAGTGTTTCGAACTGTTGGAGAGGGATGACGGTGATCTGCATCGTTGTAAATCATGCTCAGTAAATCCTGAAAGGGTGAGAGGCTGTTGGGGGCCGGGCGTGCACTGTAAATCTTTCACTTTTATTAGCCCGTGAACATATGCTGCAAGGGGAGACGACTCGCATCCTCTCCTCAGGACAATCCTGCGCTCGGCCGCGTTCCCAACCGTTTCATCTCCATCTTACCATCCAGCTACATATCCATACATCACAACCATAGAGCAAGCATCCTGATTCAGATTGTATATCACATAATCATCTCGCATTTAACCTCTCAAATTGTCTTATGGTTAAAAAGTGAATGGTGACAGAATTTTAATTCTGAAAATTTGGAAAACATAGAACGTATTTTAATGCACAACTAGTACAAATCTAGACACTGAAAGTACCCACTTTTACATTTCATGCTCACATATGGATCCATACACACTCTTGCTTTTTGAGAAGAACAATATAGAATTCGGGATGATTTTGATGAATCTCTTTGGTTGAAGAGGTCATACATTGCTGTCATTGCCTAAACCATAATAGTCAAACAATATTTCAGCGGTTTCTTGCAGCCTGTAATAAACGGATTTCTGTTCAAAACAGCGAGCAAAAAGCAATAACTATATATCGGATAATGGTCATCTTAAATAAAACTAAAAATTCATAATGCTGTTGCTTTCGATAATGGTCTGATCCGCGGGCCTATTACACTGCGTTAAAATTAATAATAATAATAATAATAATAATAATAATATAAAAAAGTGAAGATGTTTTGTAAGACATTTGGGTGTGAAGAAAATCAAATAAAATATTTCACAGATTATGCAATTATTTGTCCTTCAAATAAAGACAACGTAGTGCTAAAAGTACTATATTTTTGTGCATCGTTTGAACGTTTTGATTATTGTTTTATGTCTGGGTTTCAAAGCCATATTAAATAGCAATGTAGCTTTTGTCCGATACAGTGGGAGAAGGGAGCGAGTTCTTGTGCAAAGTGATTGTACAATGATGTGAGGCTGGAGGGAATGTTAGTGCTCTTGCTTTTAAAATGTATTTGTGAGGTGAAGCTGGTTGGAGTAGCAGTCTCAATCAGAACAATCTGCGATCCGGATCACGTGAACAAATATGCTTGTATATTTTAAGGCAGTGCCTTTATTTGTCATGACAAGGTTTCCGAAATATACTAATGTCGACTCATTCGGCGAGCTTGCCTCTGTATAACGTTCACTTTTTTTTCAAATGGGAAGTTGATTGCTAGTAATATTTCGTTTTGGAATAAGAAGACCTTCTTGGCTTTTTATTGGTAGCTGAGTGAGTGGCTCCCATTCTTTCGGGAATACTGTCTGCATTGGTATATGGAAATGCCTGGAAAAGCGCGAGATCAGTTTTAAGACAGTACTGTCTATAGACAAAGGGTGAAGGATATATCCGAGCAGCCGAACTAAGAGATATTGAGACTAAGAAGCACGGCTATATAATAAATTGACATCACACAGGTAAGCAATTGCATGGCAAAACGTAACCTTTTAAGCGTGGGTTTACATTAGGCCGGCGTAAAAAAAAAATGATTTATTCCATTCAAAGCAGCTGATCTTTATTAATGTCATCGCATACCAACTAAGCAAGTATTTGAAGACAAAAACTGAGACTAGTTTACAGATTTGCGCAACCTTGACTATTTTAGATGGATTAGCATGTAAGGTGATTTCAGTCATAACAATGTAGAGCTTTATTTTAGCTGTTTTATTTTATATATTCTGGTAGCTTTCTGGAGTTGGCCATGCACAGTATAAAACATCTGTGTCATACATTGTGAGATCGTTAATCACTTTAATTTGTGTTGTAGTCAAAGCGATGTTAGACATGACATATGTGGGTTAGGATATGCTATTCTTTTAAACATACACGTTTCCATAAATTCCAATCATTTCAGTGTCTCTGATTTCGATTTAGTCCAAATTATTGGGATTGAAGCACTAAAAAAAACAGCAACATCAAATGAATTCAAATTATGAAACCATATTTCGCATGCAATAAAAGTCAACTTAATTTAATATGTAAGAATGAATTAATATATTAAGTGTTTTTTGTTTTCAAAAGAAGCAAACGCATACTATGCCATGACAATCTAGATGTTTGAAATCTTAGGGTTAGGTTTTAAGACCTAATATGATTTATTAACTATTCCCGTAAAGAATTACATTTTCTCTCTTTTTTTTTTTTTAAGTTGATGTTCTAAGCCCGTTTTGCAATTGATGTCTGTTTGCTGAATGATATTTTAAATAATAATAATAATAATAATAACAGGTTTTTAGCCATTCGTTTTTGATTATTTATAAATAATTATGAATTCCTACATATTTCACAAAACATTAAGTTCTGTAATTGGATTATTCTGCATTGTGCAGTATCTAGTAAATAAATTGAGGCTTAAACCCAAATCTGTATTTGTTTTCGATTCTTCAGACTACACGATTTTGAGACGATATACGGGATTTTTGTTTCCCCACTAACCTGGCATTTTGTACACACTGTTTCCAACATAGAAAGTGATAGCCATACAAAACCTTTTTTTTTTTCTACAAAAGAGACAGACTTAAGCATGCGCATCAGAAACCGATATACATGTATATATTTACATACCGACTTCTAGAGTCCATTATGTTTTACAGCCCATTGTTCTATTATGAGTACCAAACTTACCGTGGGAGTGCGTGGGCAAAAACACTGTTGCCTAATAAAGGCAGACCATGTTCGGCCGAACTGTTCGCTACATTTATCCCATTAAGACTTTGAACATGACACACAAGTTTAAAATACAAGCTACGTACATTCTCTTGTTATCGGTAGTTTTGTCAAGGTTGCGATCCATCACCAAACAATAATAATAATAATAATATCAATACTATTATTAATCCCATAGGTTTTTTCAAAGGTGTTGTCCTCGTCTCATGTTTTCGAAAGGATTTTCAGAGTGGAACAGAACAGGTCATCTGTCTGGTAAGATGAGGATTAAAATCTCGTCTTCAGGCTCTCTTGGTTTTAAAATAACCGGTGAAAAAGTTGTGTGGTGTGGATTGCATTGTGACTTGAGTCCCTTCCGTCCGTTGTTCATTAATCAGTGAGTTATTGGAGAGGAAGCCAAAGGTCACCCAAAAGGCTTATGAGTGCTAAATATTTTGGCCAGCATCTCTTTGTGTAAAATCGCTTATGTCCGTTTTTTTCCCTCTCTCAGATACAGCTTTGACTGCTCCTAAAACCAGTCCAATCTTCTAGGGTCGGAAATAAATATTCCCATCCGCACTTTCTTCTTAATTTAGAGTATATCCTTTACTAAAATCCACAGCTATCCGCGCAACTGGGAAAAAGTGTTCCATTGCAAGTAGTTAAAGAACGTTCAAGACAAGAGTGTGTGAATTACTGCAGTAGCCGGATTTATACTGGCGGGCTGTAGGCTCTGGCTATAGCGGGACATTCCATCCTCCTACGCTTAGCGTTTTACCCCTCTGACGGTACCAAGTCTTGAGGAGTGCCTTTCTTCTCACCCCTCTGTGAGGCATTTACGGCTGTAGTATTGCCAGTCATAAATTTTGTCGGGCTCCACAATGACAGGTGCATTGATATGTATCGTGCGGAGCTTCAGGCCGTCTAATAACTACTGTATTGAGCACGAGCTACAGTCACTTGGGTGAAAGACTATCTTTAGAATAAGACTAGGAAGAAGACAACAATAGTAAAAAAGAAAGAAAGAAAGAAAGAAAGAAAGAATTATTGCACATTGGGATCTCAGTTTGTTGCTAGCAGACTTTGCTACCAACATTCGCTACAAACCAAATCGTATTCGCTTAGGCTACTTGGGTGATCCACCTTCTCTGACAACTCATATCGGCCTTTGGCGGGAAACAAGCCTCCGAACCCATGTCATTATAATACAGATTAAATGGCAACTGGGAATTTAGGAATCAATTGAGTCCCGGTATTACAGAGTGTTCTAAAAGCTACCGAATAAACTAATAAAGAGTATACACTATTTATATCAGGTGCGACATTATATATAGAAAGGACAAAATAGTCTAGAGGTGTTTGGTTAATTTGCGTCCCTATAATTTATATCTCGGATTTTGATTTATTTTCATATAAAGATTGCATTTTCGTATAATGTTCACAAACAAATGCAAGAAAAAGCGTGCATGGAGCCCTGCCACCCAGTTAGTATATTAAACTTCACTCGATGAATTTCATTAATGTGAACCGATCAAATTTAGCGATGACGCCGAATCATCTCAAACTACGTAAAAGATGCACAATTCCAGGTTATAGACAAACAACGGCTGATCTAATTTTTTTTGTTATGTTACAACTAGGAGATTTATTCACATTCACACACACACACACACACACACACACATATATATATATATATATAGCCTATGTATGTGTGTGTGTTTGTGTGTGTGTGTAGTTCGTATATGTAGTTTATACGTTATATATATAGTTCACTCACTCGATAAGGATTTTGTACTGCTTGAACGACATTTGAACAAAAAAAATTCTTGTATTGAGCAAAGAGTCGGAAAAGAATGGGATATTGTTTGAAGAGAAACGCTGATGCCCTATAGTGAAAGATGGCAGTTCACAACATAAGATCTATTACTGTTAAGATATGGTAAATTGTGAAAAATTCTAAAACTTTTAAAAGAACCATTAAAAATAATGGTGAAAAACAATTTGCCCTTTTTCCAACCTGATTTGGAAAGAGGCAGTAGACCATATGTTCTGTAGATGATTTGACTGAAGGCACTTAAACAAGATGACAAAAGAAATTAAAGCTGCATGGTTCAGCTAAGGGAACAACATACAATGAATACAATTATTTTTCACTACATAACTTTGTCTTGCCATCTTTAGCATGAAGTGCACTAAGAAACAACAACAACAACAGGTAAAAGAACATGAAATCCAGAAAGCTGAGAGGAGAAAGGGCATAAGGTTGACACCAGAAACTATAGAGCTAAGATAAATCTATTTCCATCTCATATTTAAATATTGAAAATGCTATGGGCTTTTTTCATTAGCAGTGGGATATGTTTAGATCGAGAAGGTATAGTTCTGTAAATGCAAATGAGTGCAACAGAATATCACTGTTGTACCTCACATCTATGATTGTTTAAAGTTTAATCCTAAAATCTTTGCTACAACTGATTCATTTTCTTTCTTAACAGGTCAAAGGACAGAAAATCTCTGGGAAGCTCCAATCACGTGATTGACAAGTCCATGCAATTGGACAGGGGTTCACAGGCTCTCTAGTTTGAACCTTCGCAATGCAGAAAGCCACTTATTATGACAATGCTGGACTTTTCGGAGGATATTCATACACTAAATCTGACTCCTATACATACGGTCCTACACATCAGGGCTTCTCATCCTCCAGCATAGAGAATGACTATCAAAATCCAATCTGTCCCATTCAAACTACATCAGTCCAGCCACCAGCACATAAAAATGGAGACATCAATGGCAGTTGTATGCGACCAAGTGCCAGCCAGGGCAACAGCCAACCAGAGAGTATCAGTGAGCAGCAGCAGGCTGCTCCTTTAGCGGCCAGCTCACCCAGCCCTAACAGCAACTCCACACACAAAAACAAATCTCCCAGCACCACTGGCTCCAGTACTGCCACCCCAGTCATAACCAAGCAAATTTTCCCATGGATGAAAGAGACCCGCCACAACGCAAAGCAGAAAAGCGCCAACTGCCCAGCTGCAGGTATGGGCTGTGTGTGTCTGTGTGTGTTTAAGTGTGTGTGGCAGGAGAGAATGGTTTTCTCTTAAAATGGCGACAACTACTATATGATTATGACCTAGTTTCTTTTGTTTACAGTAGGCTGTCTCTCTTTGGCTTTTAAGTGATGCAATAGGCTGTGTAACAATTAATCCACTGCTGCTCTCTATGTTCAGGAGAAACCTGCGATGACAAGAGTCCACCTGGCCCTGCCTCGAAACGAGTGCGCACTGCCTACACCAGCGCCCAGCTAGTTGAACTGGAGAAGGAGTTTCATTTTAATCGCTACCTGTGTCGCCCCAGAAGAGTGGAAATGGCTAATCTGCTCAACCTCACCGAGCGCCAAATAAAGATCTGGTTTCAAAACAGGAGGATGAAGTACAAAAAAGATCAGAAATCTAAAGGCATAATGCACTCTCCCTTAGGACACTCTCCGGACAGAAGCCCGCCGTTAAGTGGCTCGAATCACATTGGATATTCTGGTCAGCTTCCAAACGTAAACAGCCTAAACTATGATGCGCCATCTCCTCCGTCATTCGCCAAACCGCAACAGAACATGTACGGCTTGGCAGCCTATACGGCGCCACTGGGCGGCTGCATACCGCAACAGAAAAGATACCCGGGAACAGAGTACGACCACCACAGCATGCAGGGGAATGGTAGCTTTGCTAATGCTAATTTACAAAGTAGCCCTGTTTACGTCGGGGGAAACTTCGTTGATTCAATGCCAGCTTCGGGCCCTATGTTCAACCTCGGTCATCTTCCCCATCCCTCATCCGCTAGTGTGGACTACAGCTGTGCCGCTCAGATTCCGGGTAACCACCACCACGGACCGTGTGACCCCCACCCCACATACACAGACCTCAGCTCTCACCACGCGTCTCAGGGAAGGCTGCAGAATGCACCCAAACTCACGCATCTGTAAGGAACCCATCAGTGTGCTTAAGCGAAACGTCGCTTTTTTATTACCTCACTAGTTAAACTAATTTATAAAACTACACTCCGAGAGAAACATAACGTATTATCCTGTATTATTATGATTGATATTACTATTACTGCTATGATTGTAATTATTTTTAATAATAGCTGTGGTCCATTTCTCTTGACTGTTGAAGATACACACGATTGTTTGTTGTCAGTTGTTTGGTTCTCGGAAGGACTGTATTGGCAAAATGAAGGCAATTTCCATAACGTATTACTTGAAGGTAAGTTCTGTAGATTTGACAGTATATGCATCCGTCTTTATGGAGATGGGATTTGTAGAAAAAAAAAAACATTGCGTCTTTGTTAAGTCGTCTGTTCCTCATGGGTTCTTCATATTTTATCCGTTATACAATTATTTATTATTTTCCTCCAAGACTGTACGACAAACATTTATCTTGACTGAGTATTATATTTATTATTTATCGTTTTTAATGCACATTATTTATATTCTCATGTAGCCTATATTATTTATATGACGATTGTAGAATTTATTTTGAGCAGAAGCAGTTGACATTTCGTTGAACTGGTGCAAACAAGGTGATAATGACTGGTGTATTTATTTCTTCATTCAGTAATAAAATGTTATGAAACGAAGAATTAACAAGAATCTCGAAATTGTAATTATTATTATTACGCGTAGTAATTGGAAATTTGGCAATCTCCGACTATCGTTAATATCATGTTGCTTAAAAACACCAGCACATAATGACACATCCTCACGTTCGTTATAAATGTTATTTTGTAAGTTGCACTGTCCGTGCATAAAATGATGAAATGGTAAATATACGGAAAGGTTATATTTTATTGTGTTAAACATTTTGTAAATAAAGTGCTTAAGCTAAACAAATGAAATTGCAAATGCTACATCAATATTAATGTATTTTAGTTTTCATATTTAGGATCATTTTAATTTTAAAATGTTCATATTGTGTGTGGATACGAATGGATTTCAAACTTGGATTTTGCCCAATTCATAAGGCGGAGACGCCATTTTGGAAACATAAGGATAGTAAACAAAGGAGGCACCTTCGCTCTCACCCCCCATCCAGATGCACGTGAATGTGCGCGCACCCCTATCACGGCTGTTCACAAAACACAACAGCAAATCTCACCATTGCAATTATTTTAAATTGAAACTTGAAGAGAACTGCATCACCATATTATGTGAAACAGATTATCGGAGAGTTTATTATGATTTGGAAATTGAGATTTCACAAATATAGGCTAGATTTCAAATTTCCCGCTGGTTAAGGTAGGCTACTTCTTAAAAACGTAATGTAAATATGATGCCTTTCTGTGTTAATCTGGTGCCGTGTGCAAATCTAGATAAAGTTATAGGCTTTTCTCGTCGGTGTGCCCAGTTGTTGTAGCCTACATCTCAAGATTAAAGTATTGCTAATAATTTTAGTGCTTTTGGGTGCTCAGTAGAAATTGTGACACATCATAAGGCCCAGAGCAAGTGTTTTGTCTTATAAACAGTTTGATATAACATTAACCTGCACCATTGCGCAAGCATTAATACATATAGGTCTATGTATTTTAAATGCACCTTATAATGTGGTAATGAATAGCCTAAAGCGTCACTGCCTTTGTAAGCACTGGCAAGCCGTCTCTAACAGAATAGGCTCTTTCCCGGCTTCCCCCTAGCGAGGCATTTCAAAGCTCATTAATCAAAAACTCGTCGCTTTCAGTCTCGCTACTGATTCCAGCTCCTTATGAACAAAGCTTTTTGCTTTCTCAACTGTGGAAACACATTTCAAACTGCAAGAGGCCAAACTTTTTCCTGAGAGAGAGAGACTGTGACAACACACTCTGCATGCAATCATGGCATGGAAGAGAGAGAACTCAAAGCTGGAAAGACATAGTGGCATAGAGCTGCAAAGGGTTTAACCACTGAGGGTGGACTTTGTCCTGAGAGAGAGAGAGAGAGAGAGAGAGAGAGAGAGAGAGACAGTGACAACACACTCTGGCTACAATCATGGCATGGATGAGAGAGAACTCATAGCTGGAAAGACATACTGCCAAAGAGCTGCAAAGGGCTCAACCACTGAGGGTAAGGACATAGATTGTGAATAAAATATCGGTCTATTTAATAGATAAGCAAAGAAATACATCGGCTGGGGTGGGGGGGCACCAAGTTCCTTAATATTGGTGCACAGGAGGAAAGTGTGTTGAAAAGGAAAATAAAGGCCTCTTATTATCAAATGTAACATTAGATTATTTGTTTCCTGTGGCTATGCTGTTTTGTACATCGTAAAGGAAGCAAATTTCTTCCATTTTTATTATAAATTACTGCTTGCGCTATAAGTGAAATTATAGGCTATACCTTCTGACATCAGCAAGCGTTTTCTTTGATCAACATCATTTTATTCATATTTTTAGGTTTTAATTGTATTTTAAAATTTGTATTTACATATATAGGCACCAAAGAGAATGTAAAAATTCAGTCAAGGGAGTTCCACACCAACACACCAGCCATCGTTTGCATATGTGAAAATCGGGATTTAATCGTGCATTTGTTTTATGGATTCAGAAAACCATACTTTCCATTAATTTCTCAAGTGTCTGTTCTGAGCAAGCTGAAAAGTGCTGGTTGCTCATATCACTTATGAGCTTTGAAAAAAGCAACCAATTCACTTTTACGTCGCCTATTTCTAAACAAATGTAAGCCATTACGCTTTATTTGACTGTTGTATCGGCTTAAAATAAAAGCGCTCGATAACAGTGCAAGTCTTCGTTTGAGCGCTGCAGTTGTCATGGGTATTTGGTAGCTTGAGGTCATCAATCACTGATTGTGCACAATCTTCCTCGACAGCAGTTCCGAGTCTTCCGAGGGGAGAAGCCAGATGCGCTGCGTCTATCTTCAGCTCAAAGGGGACAACAACCGTAGAACCAAGCACTCAATCCAGCCCACGCTATAATGATGAGAGAAGCATTTAGAAGGACATAGATTGTGTCCTTCTAAATGCTAGTAGGCTATATGAATTTACATTCTCTAATAGTGAGAAAAAAAATTGTATTAACCCGTGTGGAGAGTAATTCATGCGTTTTAGCTGAATAATGTGCCTTATACTATTAATGGCCTGAGAATTTAACATTGAGGCCCCTGACAATCCTGCAAAAGAATTTCAGTTCGCGAGCAAAGCAAACAATTTCTTGGGGTTTTCTGGGGTTGGTATATAAATTCATAAAATAAATCAGATCCAGTTATTATAACTATGCGGCGAAGCGCTCTGAGAAACAAAGATATAGAGTGAGCACTACTCGAGTCCCCAGGCCAGCCGACACATGGGTCGCTCTCGATTGGTCAGAGCAAGGCGAGGCCCCTCCCCTCGTTGTTGTAGGCAATATTTACATGTTGAGCCAGAAAGTACAGTAAGTAATGAAGACAAGCAACGCGAGCTATCATTCACCGTTTAAAGTGGCGCGTTAAGAGACATAATGACCTCGTTCTTCAACTGTTAACCAGATGGGAACTTTATGACTTTCACGGCCAAGTGCAGACAGGATCAGAGGAAGACTGCGCCCTTGTCTTACCCCGGAGGCACCCGAGAGAGACTGACGAGAACCATTCTGGATCATCATGTCAACACCCGATTAACGTCGGACATGCTTCAAGGTTCTTTTGAAGTGCATCATGATGATAGAAACGCTAGTGAGTTGGCTCACACGGGTCCCGAACTTGGTTCAAATGTAGTTTATGCATGCTGCACGGAAACCTGTACACTAATTTCAACGAGCATTGCTACAATAATTCTGGAGAAATATAAGTTCAGGCAATGAGATAAAACAGCGCATGCTTGTTAGGGTGGCAGTTCCTGAGAAGTTTTTCTCAGTCCCAGGTGGGTTGTGATATTAGAGCAGTTTAGCCGACAGAGCAAACAGGGCTCGGTTCAATTGGATGAATATGCCAAAACAGTACGTTTTTTTTTTTTTTTTTTGGGATGGTGTTTTTTCCGTTATAAAATGTGGTATTGCCTACCTACAACAAACAATGTTCCGATATTTGTTTTAATAACATTGTCTATACTTTTTGCAGGAAACTGCAAACTGATCGACCAACACTGCTGCCCGCACTAATTTCATCAAACAACTCATTGAACTGGAGGAGTTTCACTTTAAAAAGTAGTCTACCTCAGCAAATTAAGAAGAACCGAGCAAGTACCTGAGCAAATCAAGAAGAAACGAAACAGATCGCGCTGTGCACCTGAACGGGACTCAGGTGAAGATCTGGTTCCAGAACAAGTGGATGAAGCAGAAGAAGAGATAGAAGGAAGGCCTGGCACCGAGTTCCGCCAGCTCCCCCATCTGCTCTGTCACCACACTGCTCTCGCTGTCAAGATAAAAGTGCCTGGAACTAAATCAATCCAATAGTTAATCCAAACCTTCTTCTTCTTCTTCTTCTTCTTCTTCTTCTTCTTCTTTCCAGTTTAACGGTGTTTGGCATCCAGCTTTCATCCAAACCTTACTCATGGTGTAGATTTTACAACGCCTAATGCACTTATTGATTTGCACTAATATTTCCTGAATATTAAGCTATGTAATAATACAACTATGCCTTTAAACTTTTGATTACATTGTTACGCTAATTTTTGTAGCTTTAATTTTTGACGGTGATTTAATTTTGAATTGATGGACATTTACATTGAGTAGAGAGTTTATGAAGTACATTTTTAATCACAATACACTTTTTAGTGCTTATTAGAGAGAATCTGGAGAAGCTCAATATTGATCTGTACTGTACCTGGCCTGTGATTAGATTATTTTGACCTCAAGAGTTTGGTGTTACTCAATTTTTATAAAAGTTAATCTGTACATCTAAATTTTATACTGAACTCATGAACTAATAATAAAAAATGGTATTTCTACCCAAGTGCTGACCACAACTTACCTAACCAACACTTGAACCAAGTGCAGAATGTAAGCATCTCTGTGATTCAGTTCATTATGCAGTCCCTTGTTGAGAGTTTACCCAAATCAACTGTTTAGTCTCCAGACTGGTAATGTTATTAGCAGTAATTCTTACAGAGCAAATGCTGGGACTTGGATTATTCAGGACTGCAACACGTTACTACTCCAGATGGAGAGACTGAAATATTCTGACAGGAAAGGTTAACAAATGACAAGCAGATCTTCTTTCAAATAAAAAAGTTGACCAAATACAATTTTATGTTGGGTGTGAAGTAAACATAAAATAAGACAAATTAGGGGGACTTTACCAAGATCTGGACAAAGGGTTGATTCTATAGAAACAATTGAATAACATTAACGAGCACCAAATCCTTTATCCCTTCTGTGCCCTGAGTTTGTCATGACATAATCTTGTCAGCCAAAACATACAGCTGCAGTCCATAAACAGCAAAGCTAGACTCATGTACAGTTGGTTCTTTTCCAGGAATTGGCCTGCTCTTA